TATATATATATATATATATATAAACTGATTTCAGTTCAAGGATTCAAAACTGAGAAGAACATGAATAAAAATAGAAAACAAAGTACTGTAATAGATCGAGGCGCATTAAAATCATTACGCTTTTTTTTTTCTTTTTCTTTTTTCACATTGTCCACGCAGTAGTTAAAATTAACCATCATCGACTAATATGCACTCGATACACAGTAAAATGTAGCAATTCATATTTTATTAATATATTCCATTTATCTTAATACATCAGGCGGAATAAATTATCCCTTGAGCAACTACATACGACGTTATTTTATATATATATTTTTGAGGCAAAAAGAAAAATTTTAAATTAAAATATAAATAAAAGGTAAAGAATGAAATATGACACCCATGACCCATTCGATAGAGAAAGGTTTTTTTTTTTTTTTTAAACGGTCAAATAAAATTATATTCTGGCTCTAGAGATGTCATAATTCTATATTTACATGTATTGGTTAGGGGTAATTTCAGTTCACTACTCAAATTATCTATTAAGTGAAGTCCCTCGTGATATGAACAAAAGTGTAGTCGATTTCTGCCACACTATACAAATTGTAGTGATGCAGTACAAAGTGTACCAAATATTGAATGCCTTTCGTTTTCTAATTTAACGCCGAGAACTTAGAAAATACATTGTAGATAAATGACAAAAACATAAATTTACCACACCAGCAACCATGTCAAGTGCATACATAGAATCTGTGGAAATGTTTATAGTTTTATAAATAAAAAACCAACATTGCTTATACACAAGCCTGGGAGACTAGCAAACTTCGCTCTTACGTTGAGAATCTACCATCTTTCCTTGAACTGACATGGCAGCCTCATCACGAGCCTGTCCAAATATTGCAGAACAAAAAGTTCACTGAACGATACATAAAGAGGATAACATCCAAATTATCAAATATAAATTTTCCTCATGTGAATGCATTGCGCACACCACTGATAAACATAAATACAACAGCAATAACTGCTCTCAACCAAACATGCACCCACTAAAAGTTTAATTCAATTGAAGGCATAAATACAGGAGAGAAAAAACCATTGGTCACAAACATTAAGAAGAAAGTCCAACATTAGAGAACATAAAGATCCTGTAGTGAGAAGGAAAAGAAGGAAAAAAAATCAAAGTTTCAATCAAGGGAACATCTATACGAATCCAAATCACAACTAATCAGACATGATTTCAAAGTTTCACTATAGTATCCTATGTTTGAACCAAACTACCTGTTTGTCAGTTCAAAGGATGTGAACCATAAGTGTTCAATAAAAGGAAGAATGGACACTCGAGCAAAACCAGAACACAATTAGAAATATCTGACACATACAAATGTTGCATCTGGTTGTATAGTTATCAATAATGTGTCATGCAAATATGTAATGTATTTCTAAAGTTTATTATTTTGGACAGCCAGGCTAAGATACAATTTAACTCAGCTTATTGAAGGCAAAAACTAGAAAAGAAAAGTATAAAACCAAACAGTCATATCTGAAATCCAAGGCATGAAAAACTAAACGAAACTCAATCTTTAGTCATAGGAGATGAATCCAAGAGCATCTGATCATTCAGTTAATTGGATCCCTGCCATATAATATCCTAATTTTTATTTTTAAATCAGTCATGACCTTATATTCACGTTATATTGTACTCACACAGCTGTACCCATATTCAGAAACATAATTGTGCTTCATGCATTTAACAATAAATCTCTCTCCTTTTGGCATGCCATCTTAATTTGCACAAGCTCAAATATACAGGCCAGATAGTTGGATAATAACAACCATAAGAAGAAAGACTATATATAGTATACAATCCAAACAAATAATGAACATATCAAAACCAATACGAAAATGAGAAAAGAGTGAAGATCTACCTTATACTCATCAATAGCATGTTGAGCAAAAGCAATATCAATGTCCATTTCCCCTAGTACATTAAGAGTGACAATTTACTTTGTATCAGTAAAACATAATAAATGTCTAATAACAATCAAAAGTTGTTGGAAAATAAATTCAAAAAAATTTCAGTGATAAATGAAAAGTCATGAACTAAGAGTTGTGAAGGAAGAATCATGAATTAAAAGTCATGAATGAATGACCATGTCATCCCTTATAAATAAAGAGACTTGTAATGAGATTAGCCACTACTTAGAAGAGTGCGTTAGCATCCAAAGGGGGTCACCGTTGAAAAAAGGTCATGATCATTCCAGGTGACGATGAAGAAGAAAAATTGACCTTGAAAAAGAAATTAGCAACACAATTTGAGATGAAATACTTGGAGAAGCTCAAGTATACCTTTGGAATTGAAGTTGTTTATTTCAAGAAGGGCATATTTATCTCCAAAAGAAAACATGTTCTTGATCTCCTTAGTAAAATAAAAAAGTTAGGATAAAGGACTTGAGAAGTTCCAATTGAAGAGAATCACAAAATTGAAGGTGAAGAAAGTACGTTAATGAAAAATATCGATATAAAAAATAAGTAGGCAAGCTAATTAATCTATCACACACTAAACTAGATATTGTTTATGTTTAGTCAATTCATGCATAACTCTCAAGAAAGGTATATGCAAGTAGTTAATAGAATCCTTCAATACTTGAAATGAAGTCCAAGGGAGAGATTACTATTCAAGAAAGGAGACACCATGTCAATGGGAATATATACTAATGCAAATTACGCAAGTCAGTCACAAATAGGAGATCTATTTCAAAATATTACATATCTTTTGGGGGGGGGGGGGGTGGGAATTTGATGACTTGAAGGAATAAGAAACAGAACGTAGTTGTTAGGTCTAGTACAAAAGCTGAATTCTAAGTCTTGGCACATGACATATGTGAAGGACTATGAGTGAAGATTATTCTTGATGACCTTAGAATTAAAATAGAGCTACCGGTATAAAGTTTTTTTGTGACAACAACTCAACCATCAACATGCTCATAATTTAGTTCAACATAACAAGAGCAAGCATATTGAGATAAACAAAGAGAAGTAAGATAGTATTCTTATTGTTACAGCTCACATCCCTACCAGACTTCAAGTGGCAGATATACTTACTAAAGAACTTCCTACTAGTAGATTTCAAGAGTTGACATATATATTAGTTGGGAATGATTGATATTCTTTTACCAACTTGAAAGAGAGTGTGGTAAATATTGTATCTAAGAAGATTTTGATATTTTTATAATCTTTCCTTATTTTCTTTCTTTTTGTTTATTTTCACAATTACCTATTTTAAGAACAAATGTATATCTATAATAGGATAAAAGAAATGTAATTATTGTGAAACTAATTAATAAAATCTTCTCTTTCAACTTAAAATTCTTTTAGTGATGTGCTCTTATTAGAGTGTAAAATTATTTGCTTGTAACTTGAAACAACCCCTATTGTGGGCAAGATTGTGTAATATGTCATCTCCAAAATCCTTTGTGGGAGTGTCATTCATTCATTCATATATATATATATATATATATATATATATATATATGCAAGAATTTGGCCTATTTGGCTAGATTTTATAACCCAAAATCACACCTCCAAATCTTTTTATTGGTGTTTTGTTATTGTGGTTTTCTCTTATGTTTTTTTTTTTTTTTTGTTTTTTGTTTTATTTTCTAATGATATTGATTTAATGTTGATATTGTCCGATGGTGTGAAAGCAAATGTGGTGATAGATGTTGATCCAAAGATGATGTAAAAACAAACTTAATGGTAAAAGTGTTTAGGGTTATCATAAACTCTAAATCCTCAACCCTATAAGTGTCAGTGACATCATAGAATATAAAGAATGTCATCATGCATGATCATGCTTAACTTAGTACAATCGTAATTTTGTCCTAATTGTACTTTTTGGGCTAAATCTTTGGCTTTTTCTATGGGTTACAATAAATTTCATCGTGCATACATATAGCTTGAAACAAGATCAAACTGTTCAAATAATTTACCAATTTTCCTAAATTTTAAACAAATCTCAATTTATAATTATAAGAAAAATATGGTTGATCAAAATTTTCCACATTTAAGCATTAATTTATTGTATTCAAGCAACTACCCTATTTGTAAAAACATAAATACTAATTAATTTTTCAAAGAAAGAAACATAAATACATATTTGGGTCACTTATTGTTCCTAAAGACTATTCTTTTCAAATGCCCAATTAGGTTTTAAGAACCTATTACTGACATCGCCACCATTAATGGCATCACTAGTACCATTGACAATGAAACTACTACTGTATTATCATTATTATTATCATTATCAGTATTGTTTTTGCTACCACAACTAATAGAATCGTCTCCACTACTATTTTTGTTGTCAATATTATCACTAATAATTAATGTCTTCACAATCACTACTACTAACATTGTGACTTACATTATTACCACTATAATTGGTGTCAATGTTGCTATCGTCACCATCACCACCACCACTAACACCATTATTGCTACGATCGCACAAACACACCCTTTTAACTAATTTTAATAAGATAATAAATTTTCAAATTGAGATTGTTTTAAAACTAAAAAATATATTAAAACAAACTAAAATTTAGGTTGAAGTTTTTAAAGCTTAAAACTATAAAACTACCCCCAAACGGACCCTAATATATATGTAATTTTCTATCAAAAGATATAAATAAAAAAAAGTTATTCCACTTTAATATAAGTGTTGTAGTTGTTTGATATCTGTTAGCTTCTTTTGTTTTGCCACATTACTCTGATGTCTCATTCTATCACCTTATTATATTAATAAGTCTTTGCTTATTTTTTCTATTAACATATTTCATCTCAAAATCTCAAGATGTGTCCCATTTACTTTTTCCACACGATTCATAGGTATTAAAGAGTATTGTTACTTTTCCCAAACCAAGGGATGTCATATGCCATATATCATTTTTTTTCATTAGTACAAAAGAGGTAATTTACGTCGGTTATTTTAAGCTTTTTACGTTAAAAAAAGTCTGACGTTAAAGAGGGAGACTTAAATTTACGTCAGACATTGCCAAGATCCGACGTAAAAAAGTTGTAAACAAAAAAAAAATATAATGAGTGCAAGCAGAACGGGCCGTTCTGCTTGGAGAACGGGCCGTTCTGCTTGGAGAACGGGACGTTCTGCTTGATAGAACAACCTAGCAGAAAAAGCCAACAACCCAAACAAATAGAACAACATAAAGACCGAATAGAACAAATAGTCATAATAGCAATGCAAAGCAAAAAGGTGTTAGCGATTCATACCTGAGCTGCAACAATGTGCGAACGAGTAACGAAGAGTTCACCCCATTCTACAGAAGATGGAAAAAATGATTTAGCAACAAAGGAGAGGGAGAGGGTTTATACAGAGAAGAATCTAGAAAAGTGATGAGATCCGAGTGAGTGCGTGCATGCGTGTGCCTCTCATGCACTCTTTTTATTCGCTTTCGCTACATTTTTACATCGGACCTGGTAGGGTTTGACGTAAAATGTAAAATCTACGTCGATTGTATGTTATGTCCGACGCAGATTGTACATTTTATGTTGGAACCTACCAACATAAAATCGATTATTAGAAGTTTAGTTCCTAGCCTTGCCCACAAAGTTTTCCAAAAATGGCTAAGGAACTTAACATCTCTATCCGAGACTATAGTCTTAGGTATCCCATGAAGTCGCACTACTTCTTGAAAGAATAATTTAGCAATATTGCTTGCATCATCCACTTTGTGGCATGGAATAAAGTGTTCCATTTTACTAAAATGGTTCACTACCATAAAGATGGAATCCTTTCCTCTTTGGGTTCGAGGCAAACCAAGGATAAAATCCATGGAAATGTCTACCCAAGGAGCATTGGATATTGGCAAGGGGGTGTATAGTCCATGAGGTTTTGTAGTAGATTTAGCTTGAAGACAAGCTATGCATCTAGTACAAAACCTTTGAACATCTCTTTTCATATAAGGCCAAAAGAATTTCTCTATTCTCATATACCATCCAAAAGTGCTACAATATCCGGCCATAGGTGAATATATAGTGAAAGAAGTATGGTGAACAAGTTTGGCTTAACCTAAGGTTAAGTTAAACCATACCATGGTTTAACTAACCTTAGGCGCCAAAATTTGAATGTTTAAATTCAAATTTTGGTGCCAAACTGGTCACCATCATGTGCGCCTTCCATTTGAGTGTAATTTGGTATTCATTTAAGCATCATTTCAGTCACACCATGTGCATGTGTGCACATGACCGAAATGCATACTAAATGGCATACTAATTACATACAAATGAACATGCACATGCTAACCTAGATTAACCTTAAATTCACATGGCAATGAAATGAAAACTCCTAATCTAGATGGCCAAAATACAAGGCCCAAAAATACCATACAAGCCCAAAGGCCCAAACTTATACTACTACCTAATCTACTTGGGCTTGGGTCAAAGCCCAACTAAAAAGTACTATGGGCTTCTCTTGAGCATGGGCCCATTCTTCATGTATCCTCTTGGCCATAGCCTTAGTAGTTGCGCCTTTGGCCCATGGGCCTCCTCCATCATCCCCTCCCTCTTGAAGATGATTTGTCCTCAAATCCAAGGAATCCTCCTCTTGGTCAGCAAGTCCTGTAAAAAGAGATAAATCAGATATGTTGAAACTAGGACTAACCCCATACTCAGAGGGAAGATCTAGGACATAGGCATTATTATTTATTCTCTTAAGGACTTGAAAGGGTCCATCCCCTCTAGGACTAAGTTTAGACTTTCTTTTGGAAGGAAATCTATCCTTCCTAAGGTGGACCCAGACACAGTCACCTTCATTGAAGACAACTTCCTTTCTACCCTTGTTATTGTATTTTGTGTATTTTTCAGTTTGGGATTGTATATGATTTCTAACCCTCTCATGCAAGTTCTTAACAAATTCAGCCCTAGATGTTCTTTCTTTATGAATAAAAGAAGCAACATCAGGTAGGGGTAATAAGTCTGAAGGGGTTAGAGAATTGAAACCATAAACAATCTCAAAAGGAGACATCTTGGAGGTTTTATGAACCACCCTGTTGTAGGCAAACTCCACATGAGGGAGATAGTCATCCCATGACTTTTTATTGCCCTTGAGGATTGCCCTCAACATAGATCCTAGAGACCTATTGACTACCTCAGTTTGCCCATCAATTTGTGGGTGACATGTGGTAGAAAATAGAAGTTTAGTTCCTAGCCTTGCCCACAAAGTTTTCCAAAAATGGCTAAGGAACTTAACATCTCTATCCGAGACTATAGTCTTAGGTATCCCATGAAGTCGCACTACTTCTTGAAAGAATAATTTAGCAATATTGCTTGCATCATCCACTTTGTGGCATGGAATAAAGTGTTCCATTTTACTAAAATGGTTCACTACCATAAAGATGGAATCCTTTCCTCTTTGGGTTCGAGGCAAACCAAGGATAAAATCCATGGAAATGTCTACCCAAGGAGCATTGGATATTGGC